GTGAGATGACATGGTTCATTCAGAATGTCAGCAACCTGGTTCTCAACCCATGGATGGTATATGACATTGGCATGGTATCACTCCATGATCGTGTAGGAACACGTGTACTCCAGAGCACTGGAGAAGACGTGATTCTAGTGAGGGATTGGGACAGGTTGACAAGGCACCAGAGAGAATATTTTTGTAGAAGATACAAGTTGTTGCGTCCAAGTGTTTATGGAACAGAGGAGGACCCCAAGACGTATGCACCAAGTTTTGAACCTGGATTTTCTCAATGGATGGAGTTGGCACAAACTGGATACCAACAGTTTTTCTTCATCCGTGCTTGGGAGAATGGACGCCGTTGGGCTGAAATTCTGACAGACCATGGCATTGCTTCTGCAGAACTTTTAAGTTTCTTGGATATGTGCAGGGATCCCAAATTGCTGGGTTGGAACTTTGGTATCCCAGAACCTCAGTGGGATAATTTCGGCAACTCAGTGGAGGAAGCATTTAACAATCCATTATTTGCCAAACTGCACTATCGTTTCAAGCAGGAGGAAGAGATTGGCCGCGTCATGCACCTTTTGTCTGAACTTGTTTGTGACTTTTTCGTCAAGGTGCTTCCCAGGTGGGTTCTTAAGCATTCGATCTTGTGGGAAGAGTTTATGATCTTGGATCCACACACAAAGCTCCCTCTTTACAAGACTTCAGAGGCCGCCTTACAAGCAGAAGAGGATCCAGAGAAGTATCATACACATTTTGCTATGAACTTCAAGAAATTCCGTTTTTCTGCAAGAATTGTGTGGTATTTGATTGACCGTGACAGGAATCATTTAGAGAGTTTTCTTCACAACTCCAACAGTAGATTTGTGCAACATGCATGCTATCAACTTCGTGAGTATGTTCAAGCGCGTGTTGCAGTTTCTGATCCCTTGTATGAGATGATCAAGAAGGAAGAGTTTGAACGCCAATACAATTCCAAGTTTTTGGAGGCGATTTCTTGCTCTCGTGTTGTAGTTGAGCCTGTAAGTTCAGGGACGTATGAGCCATCATCGAAGCTGAACTTAAAGGTACTACAAGACATCCTGAAGGGTATCTTTAAGATCCAGAAGGATGAGGAGCATGCCAAGGAACGTGAGGAAGAAGAAGAACAGGCAGCTCAAAACATCTCATACCTGTTGGCAGATGATATGGAGCTTGATTTCGATGATGATAATGTTCCAGTATGGCGCTCCATTGTCGACAAGTATAGAGAAGGTGATCAGGTGCTACAGGGAGAAGCTGTGAAGATTACTCACCTGTTCAGGGATAAAAAGGACAATGAGAAGGCGACAGAAGCTTTCAGTTCAGAGAGGACAGATTTTTATGAGACCTCAGGACCTCTTCCAAGAACCATGGGAGAAAATCTTGTAGAGGACTTGCTCACCAAGGATGTTGCAGAACAAGCTTTTGATGCAGGTGAAGAAGTTCCTCCTTATACAAGAGTCTCCACTATCGCTGGTGGAATCTATACTGGAAGTATGACACTTCTAGAAGATGAGGATATGGAAGAGGAAGTTCCTGAAGAGGATCCTGCAGTTGAACCTGAAAAGGAAGAAGAAATATTTGATGAGAATGCAGGTGTTTTTCCTTCAGAGGAACCAAAGATGGAAGTGGACCAGGAGGAAGCCAAGGAGGAGTCAACACCACACTTTCTGTCAAGAGAGATAGGTGAGGACTCGGCTGCATCGCACTTACCATCAGGTGAGATGGATGCTAACCTTGATGATACTCCACGTCTGCCGAAATCTAAGAAAAGCCGCCTGAATAAAATACCTGACCCTCATTTTCATGAAGAAGTTCAGGATGATGCAACCATGGAAGAGAAGAAAGAGGCGGTGGAGAAAATAAAAGAGGTCAGAGAGGATGATGGAGAGAAGAAATTGGAGGCTGAAATCCAGGAATCTTTTCCATCTGAAGTAGTTGTTGAAAAGGATACAACAAAAGTTGACAATACCTATGAGTTGCATACTTCACCTTTGAAGTTGCTTGGAGAGCTTACAGGAGATCCAGGTATTGGCCTTTATCAACAATGCTTCAGGGAAACTCACGCAAGATTGCTGAATCATGTTTGTTTCAGAAAAGGTGAGATTTCCCATCCTCATTATCAGTCAAGGATCAACGAGAATGATTTTGTTCGATCCATTCGTAATATCTGTCCAGTACCTCCACCTGATTGTTATGAACACGAACCAGAGCATGATTTGAAGAGATTCTTTATCAATGATGATCGCATCATTCATTTGGATGGCAAGTATCAGGTCGATCCAAAGGCCCTTGAAAGGGCAGAACATGCTCGAGAAGAATTGGAGGATACGAAGAAGGAACTTAAGAAGGAACTGGAATCATATGGTCCCAAGGGACCCAGTTGGGACTTTGTCACCTTCTATGAAGAGCTGTGCAGAAGGTTCCTCAAGGGAAGAATAGAAGAACCATATGGAACTAACTTATTGGCCAGCTCAGAGTCCTTGACATTTTTATCCTGGAACTATGGCAACATGGTTCGTGGTCAGAAGTACACCACACCAAGGTTTCTCCAAGGACTTGATAGTGCAATGAGGTGGATATGTCAAGATCATTGCTGGACATGATCAAGAACTTGGTCACTGTGAACAGCGTGATGTAACTTGGGCTATCTACGAGATTTGTTTTGGAGAAACAAGGCCTCGTCAAGATTTCAAGGATGCAGACTTTGAATTTGATGACTATGGTCCTGAGGACAAGCGTGTTCCACTTACTCGAGCGAACATGCATACCATCAGAGTCTGTAATTATCATGTTGATACACACCGTGCTGTGGATGCCCACCTACTGACAGGAGAACAGACAGCATTGATGCTTTACGAGTGTTTTGTCTATGAGGTGGACATCATTTCTGGTGATGCAAATAGTTTGGCCTACAGAATGTCTGGGTACAAAAGGCAGCCAATGGCTAACTACTATTACAGCACCATGCAGCATTGGATCTGCAGGTTTTCAGAAGCTCGTGTAAAAGCAGATCCTGGTATCAAAGCACCTATTCCCAGAACATTTTACAGTTCAACTTCACAGGTCCTCAAGAAGTGTGAAGTTTACTTTGATAAACTCTGGGAAGAATATTCTACTGTTGAAAAAGAAGAATACCAAGGATCACAGCTTGGCGATACATGTTTGTCTACCATTGTTGAATGGGGTCATTCAATGAGTGAAGAGGAATATGAAAATTCCACAGTGAGCACGAAGGAGTTCATCTGTAATTTTTCAGAGAACTTTGCTATGATTGACACGGAGGTTATGTGCTCAAGACCCTCTGACGAGGACAGTCATGGTCCAATGTTTATTTCACTCAGACCAGCTTCCTTTTCATCTGGAGACAGAAGACAGTATCGCATGGGAGCAACTCTTCATAAGGCGAACTTGCGGAGGAAGGAGAGACAGAAGCAGAATAGAAAGAAAGGAAGGCCGCCAACTTCTGATCAAGCAGCTTCATCGTCTGCAGCGGCATAATTCCTGAGCGAAGGCTGAAATTTAAATGATGGCTAGGAAGTGAAGATACTTCTGGTTACAGTTGATACTTTGCTTCCAAGCTTGACTTTAAGTTTCCGGGCTGAAGTTTTAAACTTTAGCAGGTAGATGTGGACAGTTTTACATAACTGATGATATCTATCACCACCGCTCTTATGAAGTGACCTCTAATGGACAACCAGTCATGGTTGATGATTAAGTCATTTCATGATTTGCAATTGTAGTGCAAGATTTTTTTGTACATACATTTGCCGGTATCTCCTTCTTGTGTTTTTGATGTGAATGTGAAAGAGAGTCCTTTTGATGCAGTTTTATTTTGTCTGTGGATGAAAGCGGTCGAGACCACGTCACGAGAAGATTATTCCTCGGACCGTACGCTCCTTGCATTTTGCAAGGCATTTTAATTAATTGCATTTGTGCGGTCTTGAGTTTTTGTTTCCTTGTTACGCGAGTGTCGTTTGATTCTTTTATAGGTCTCTGTAGAGAAAAAGCCGCTTTCCCTTTTTAGTTTGATTTAGCTCAGGCCATAAAGAGCTAGTGAGCGCCGGTACATGGTATCTCCGCCTGTGAAAAATACAGTCTCCAGCCGAGGTACATTATCGTTTTGATTTTGTACTTGAGGTGAGTCAGCTATTGCTCCCTCACTGTATTTAGTAGCTTTGAGATTACCTTCTCTATAGTGTGAAACACACTGGATTAGGTAAGTACATGGCACCGTAGTTTTCTTTTAAGTTGCTAGAGCTAGCTGGACTGTTTTAGCCTTGCAGTAGAAAAAGAGTGTGCGACATACGCAATCAGCTAGGAGTGGACATGAATCTTGTGCCTGCTGAAAAGTAGAGCCTACCTGTGCAGGGTTCCACTCCAACAGCCGATATAGTGTGTCCATACTTGACTGCTTCAAGGCTCAAAGAGCAAGAGGATAAGACTCTGCGCATAAAAGACACTAGCGGTCTGCACCTCTACCGTGTACGCCCTAGTCACTCTTTCACCCCCTCCCCCCCCTGAAAAATGTAACTTACCCCCCCCCCCCAGGCCCGGCATTGAGGTACATGAGGGGGGGGAGGGGGTCTAAAAATGTAACAACCTGCCTGTGAGGGATGTAGTTACATTATCTTCCAGCAGCCTCACTGAGTCTTGCGTAGTATTACCTTGGACCATCCTAGACCTGAAAAAATGTAACTTACATTTTTTTACATATTTAGTTACATTTTCCCTGGAATAATGTAACTTGCAAAAGTTACATTTTTCATAAAAAGCCTAACAAATGTAAGTTACATTTTTCCAGGTGTATGTAAAGGACTAAACTAAATGTGAGTTACATTTTTTGAGGTCCCCCCCTGCTAAGAGGTAGGGATGATGTGAATCAACTTGTGATTCATTTAGGCAACAGTCACTTGGAGCACGGTTCGGAGCACTGTTCGGAGCCGCTTTTTGCATCAAATCTCATGGAGGGCCATGGCTCGCTCCACGCTGAGGTGCGATGGTCCAATGCAAGGTCTTGGCGGCCGATTGCCTCGCAGGTGACGCGGAGTACGGAGTACGGACGTCGGTGGAGGGGAGAGGCGGCTTGGGAGTCAGGTGAGGTGAGTCATCGAAAGGACACAAGAAAGTTCAGCAGAGTTGCTTGGGTAGGGGATTGAAAAGCAGGACTTGCTGTAACTTTTAGCTTTCAACATCTTTCAACAGTGAGATCACACATGAAATCAGTCTTGAAACAAGCAAAACCATTGGCCAGAGGATGGATGGTCTCATCTCAGGATCTGGATGGAGCTTGTTTCATGAGCAGAATTGCTTGGGCAGCAGAGGGTTCAATGGTCTCAGGATCTTGTTTGATGAAAAGAACCCGCTTCTTCTACGGAACTCCTGCCTTTGCGGCCGCAACGTCCTTCCACCAGGCTTGAAGCACTACGACGAGGAGCGGAGTGCCGACCTCTCTCCGACCGCGGCGAACGGCTGCTCGTTCGTATGCCCGCTGTGCGGTCTCCCTGCCAAAAAATGGAAGTCAAAGACGGAGACCGAGACAGGACCACGGGTTTTGCGTATTTTTGGGGGGGTTTACTCAGGTTTACTTTGAGCATTTGGAGAGGACGGTGGTGGTGTAAAGCTTCTCGTGGGGGTTTGGCAATCTTTCAAGTCTGGGACAGAGTAGGCGGAGACTGTCAACATAGTGTCCAAGCTTAGATTGTGTGAGAGTAGAGTAGACGGCGGTTCAGTTCGAATCCAAGCACAAGCACAAGCTAGTGGGCCATCCATCATCTACACGACTCAAGAAGAGCCAGGAGTCCTCGGACGCAGTAGGGGTGGCTGTTGGGGTGGCTGTTGGCTCCAACTTCTGGAAGAGATCGGCCCTCGCCCGGACCCCGCGACCGGACCGGACGGACCTCGACTCTCGGACTCTTCCAGGCCAAGGAGGTTGCTGACCAGGCCATCAAGCAAGCCAGTGGCCTGCACGACCGTCAGGCGCCATCTCCGCTGGCCGCGCGGTCGGCCGCGCGGTCGGCCGAGAAAGCGGTCGTCCTGCATCGCTTCGAGTGCACGAGGAAGGGACGGGCGGTCGGTCGTGCCTGACGGTGCCCGGGTCGTCATGGCCAACGGAACACCGGTCGAGGCAGTTGGCCACTTCCTGCGTGAAACCACGACTTGGGGTGAGTGCTGAAGTTGTCCAAGTAACTTGGCCCTAGAATATCTGCCACTGGAATGTTCAAAGGGAAGGTTCACGGAGCGCAACCTCTTGCAGGATGTTCAATGATGTTTTCATTGGTACGGTAAGTGGATGTACAGTACATGTTTCTAAAGTAACATGTGCGACCTCAAAATACTGTACCACATTCATCCGATCAAAAGATATAAAAAGCACCCGTCCGTCTATCCTGAAAAAACCTCGTTCCTTTTTCAGGATGGGACGGCCCAAACCTTTGCCACTTTGCCAGGCTGAAAGTCAAGCCAAAGGCTGCCTCGAGCGGATCGAGAAAGCTGAGAAGAAGAGTCATTGCCTGAGCGGGGTGGATTGCTGTGCATGAGTTTGATTGCTTTTTTCTGCGGCCACTGGTCCTCAAAGCCTCAAAGAGATGCTTTGCTTTGCTGGTCTCTTGCAGGTATACCATTCTTCATCCCTGCTGGGATTCTTGTGATTGTATCTTCCCTCGCAAATCAATCTTCTCCGTCTTCAATAGTGCCGCTTGGGTGTGCCTCTGGATGTGCCGGGAGCCCCTTTCTAGGACCGAACTGAATACAGAGCCATCCGAGAGCATCCCATGATCTACTTTGAGTATTTGGTTTGTGAAGGTGATAGGGCATAGGGGTGACACTACTAGATGCTGATCATCCCCGCCCTATGCCACCAAATAGACATTTTAGTTCTGTTACCCTCCAACTTACTAACATAGGAGTGGAAAATGGCCCCTTGGAAGACTCGTTTACCCTTAGACACAGGTTCCTTTTTGTTCCACTTCCATGGTTGGTTAGTTGGAGTGTAGCGGTTTATGGGTATGTGATCCAAGAAGTTCACTCTGCCATGGTGTTTTCCTCTTCCTTCTTTGATCAAGACGGCGCCGTCTTTCTTCCGAGGCAAGGAGGTGGTGGCTCCCCCCGTGCAAGCGGCCATTGCCACCGAAGCGTTGGGGGACTCGGAGCCTTCCCCCAGAGGCTTTCCCGAGGGATCTCCCAGATGTATCTCCCAAGGATCTCCCAGATGTATATCCCAGGACTTCTAGATGTATCATGATGTACAATTGACTCGTAACTGCTCTAGATGTATCTAGATGTATACCATCCAGATATCCCCACTGGACATCCCTCCCTCCTCCCCCCTCCCAGGCGTTCCGCTCCACTCCGAGGCCCACCGGCGCTGCGCCGGCCGCCGCGCCCGCGGCCTCGGCGGCGGCCGAGGCGCCCAAGGGCCTGGATGCGGCGCTGGCCACGAAGCGGCTGATGAACATCGTGGGGAAGCCCCGGCGCTGAACGCAGTGTGCGGTGGGGGTGTGGGGACGTTCGATTTCCGTGGGAAAAGAACGCTTGTTTCACCGTGAAGTTGAAGCTCCGTGGGGATGGGGGGTGGCCTTTGATGCCATTCCGCACCTGTGAGTCTCTCTTCTTCAAGACGAAGACCCACGTGTGCGTCGACGTGACGAGGTGAAAGACGTCATCGCGGCCGACGATGAGATCAGCGTCCGGGAGCGAAGGTCACACCAGTGGACCGGTCACACCGGTGGCTTTTTGAAGCAAAACACGGTCCAGAATTTGGTGGATGGTGGACTTGCTTAGTGTTTTCTGTATCAAGTTGAGTAAGCGGGAAATGGCAGGCACGAGATGAAGAAGTTGTGTCATGAGGCTGTAATGAAGTTTCGCAAAAGACATGCCCTGGTCACTGGTGCCCTTTTCTCTTGGCGTGAAGGCGATAGAAGGTCTGCGGTGGAGGAGCGTTTCGGGAGGATTTCGGAGATGAATCACAACCCGCCCTTCAGACAGAAGTCCTTTTTCTGCGCTTAAGTGTAGGGATCTAGTGGAAGTTGTTCTTCACCTTCAGCTTGTTTGGTCGTGGCTTCCTAGCTTTCCCCAAAGTACCAGCTCCTTCGATGGCTGCTTCTGAGGCTGATAGCCCTCTCATGGAAGCGGGCATGGACAGCATGGGGTCCCAGTAACCCTGGACGCCGAGGTCACCGCCACAGACCGAACCCCTATTGGTTCGGTCGGGTGTGGCCCAAGAATTGGCGTGGAATCAGTAGATGCGACGCCAGTGATTGGAACTTCTTCGGGCGCGAAAAAGCTCCGTTCGTAGCGTCCGAACGCTCCTAGTAGTAAGGCCAGGAGCCCCGTTCGTAGCGTCCTTGCTCCCAGTAGCGATGCCCTTTGCTCCTAGGACGCTACTAGTCTTGGCGACGCTTCTTCGCTCCGCTACGGACCAGTCGACGCCTCCCTCCGCCCCTGATGGAAGAGAAGCGGTGGGTGGACATGGGGACACAAGCACCAAGGTCTTTTTGGGACGGCGACGAGAATACGAGAAGCACCAACAATTCTTTACAAGTTTCAGCAACAGAAGCGGTCCTTGTGATGAGCTCAACTGAGCTTCAAGCTTCGGACGTCTATGAAATCCTCTGGGTTTGGGTTGAAGAAAGTACCATCCATTACTTCTGTGCTTTGCAGAGTGCACCTGGCCCAAGGTCTGTCTTCCGTGCAGCTGGTCACAGAGGCGGCAGAAGTGGCAGAACTGCGCGATTCTAGGAAACTACAGTGGATGGACAAGATATTCCATTGGTTTTGAGTCAGGGAGCTGTCACGAACTCCTTACCCCCCAAAGTTTAATGTCGAATGTGACACTTCTTTTACGTCAAGGTGGGGGCTGAAGGGTTTCAATATTGCGTTTTTGGGTGTGTCATGTTGAAGGTGCATCAAATAAGATCAAGATCAGCTTGAACAGGCTTTCCAGGGGACCTTGCTTTTACAACATGAAGTATGAGTGATTTGCCCCCCGTAGAACTGATAATTAGGTCGCCCCTCTTCTTTTTGGTGCGGTCGCACACGTCCGACCAACACATGCGCCGTGGGTGTCAGGTGTCCAAGGAGTTCCAGATGAGCTTGTCGCCTTCCTTGGTCTTCGACTTCCCCAATGTTTCGGTCCGGGCTGCAGAACGCCGAAGCGACGAACGCGTTGGCAGTGTCGCCGCACGAAACAGCGCAGTGTCGACGGCCGTTGGTCACACGGGTTTTACGTTGCACGGGAGATTTCCAGGACGGAGCGGTCTTCCGGGACGAGGGAGATGACTGTTTCTCCGCAGGACTTCGACGTGAGGGAAGCACGGATTGGTGATGAGTGGATCTCCATGATCCACCGATGTCATCCATCCGATTGGTGAAAGATGGATGACTTGGAACCAGGCACCGCAAGCAGGAGCTTCATAGGAGCTTCATAGGTCTACGGGTCGATGTCGAACAAGGTCACCCAACCAATCTGGTGGCTTCGACCTTCCACTTTTCTGAAACAACATGCCCGGCCCAACCAGCCGCTCTACGCCGCGAACTGAGTCCATCGTCAACCACTTGGTCGAAGAAAGTCAGGGCTGATTGGACAACAGCGCCGAGGCGATTGGTTTGGGAATGGCGAACCAACTCTCCCTGAGTTTGTTCAACAAACATGGAGAATTCCCAAGGGATTCTCAAGCCTAACAAGTTGTAGCTTGTTCGTCTTGTTTCTCTTTTAATGCAGTGTCTTGTGTGGCTCTCAACTACGAAAGGCAGATGAAGCATGACAAGTCGGTGTGAGACAAAGTTCATCAGACAACGTTCAGCAGCCACACAGACTCCTAGAGGAGTTGAGGAACGTTGTATTTCCAAGCCTGCACAACCATGGATGTGAGGGTACTCCGTTTGCCCAATGATTGCATTCTTGAGTGGAAAAGAGAATCCACAGTCCACCGTCAGATGATTCTGCCGGAGCAGGAACCAATTGTGCAGAAAGGTGCAGAGAAGGCAGGGCAAACGTGGCTGGGAGTCCAGATTAGAATGCATGTGTATGTAGACTGGCTGCTGGTTTGCACTGATTTCCACTCCCTGTTGGACATGCTGTACTTACTCTACTCCAATGAACATCATGAACTGGCTACCACCCACCGGTGCGGAGCCATTTGTTCCAGTCGACTCTCTCACCATTCCGCTCTGGCGGAAGGAGTCGGTTTGCTCCGACGCTGGTCCGGCGGACGGCCGTCCGACACGTCAGACCACCATTGGGACACACGGAAAAGGCCAGGCATAGCTTCCAGCCCAGCATGGCGGGAGGTTTGGCCGCAAACATCTGCAAACCCCAGGTGGTCCAGCGGTTGCGGGTTGCAGTGATGGCGGATGTTTGCGAATAGGATCCCTGAGACAAGAAGTGTTGAGCGTGATTTGGGCGTAGGCATGAAGACTGGGTCTTACTCCAACATCTGCATGTTTTGAGCATGTAGGCCCCATTTTTGGAGCACAAGGACGTAGGCCATAGAGTTCTAAAGACTTGGCCAAGTGTGTTCGCCTTGATCATCACATGTGACCTGTTTCGCTCGGGTCCGAATCCCATGGGCCCTGCACCACCACAGAATCGGGCCGTTTTCGCCGACACCGGGCGGACCCGGAGGCTGTTGGAGACCGGGTGGACGTTCGCGCGTCTTCCAAAGAGCTGTGAAGAGCTGGTCCATGGTGGGCAGAGGGGGTCTTTGCATCGAATACACCCAAACCACTCTGTTTGGGCCGGTCTTTGAATTGGGTCTCAACGTGTCTCAACATCTGCCAGACATAAAGGCGCCCAAAGTTTTTGCAGCCTAACAGATACCACTTGCAGATCTTCCGGACTTTGGAATCGAGAAACATCTTTGACTTGGTGTCCAGAGAAACATCTATGCGTTTCTGTGAACGTGTTTGCATTCGCTAGAAAAAAAGGCAACACCCGGGGTTCTTGAAGCCATCTTCCCGAGCGTCCTCCGGGTGAGGATCTGGAGCTCGCTCGGGCGAGTCGGCCCTGTTCTTCTTTTTGCCTTTTGACGAGGACGAAAGTGATGAATCACATCTTCCTATTCAGACTCGTGCGACTCGTAGGGAATGAGGGAATGAACCACCCCTGTAGACCCCTCAGGATCCAGCCACCCATATTCCCATATTCCTCACGCACCAGTTGCCGTCTTGTAAGTGGCGAATCGCCGTGTTGGCGTTCCAAGCACCTACTGGATTGATCGTTCCAAGCACCGATAGCTCCCGACAACGATGGACGCGATGGACGCAAAAGGACGCAAAAGGACGCGAGAAGCAGATCCGGCCGGGCAACCTCTGAATGTTGGCTTCAGCCATGATTTGATGAGATCTGAAGTTTGTTGATCTGAAGAACCGAACCGCAGCTTCGAAGAATTTGAGACAATGAGACTCATCAGGATCCTGTAGGTGTTCAGCCATGTTTCTCCTGGCAGAACGTCTTTATTTGCAGGGAAGAAAAGGCATGTCTTTTCTGTTCGCTTTTGCCGACGATCTTTTCGCTGCCGTAGCGCTGCCGTAGCGTAGTGCGCGGCCCGCCGCCGATGCGGCTTCTGAGCCAGCACATGCTTGGAGAGCCGGAGGCGCCAGGGTTGGAAGCGAGACACCCGGCGGGTCATCGCCCCCAACGAACGAAGGAAGGTGGCTCTGATTGTCCGTTTTTTTGAGGGCGAGGGTATTATGACCCGGCTTCCAACTCTGGGGATTGCAGGATGGCTTTCACCCGCAATTGAAGATGATGTGAAGATATGTGGAGCGAGTGCAAAGCATAGATGGAAGAAAGGGACAGTAGATGGGAAGAAAGACAAGGAGGCTCTCGGACAGCTAGGTCAAAGGATTGGATTCTGGTGGAATTGGTGGTCTTGGTGAGCCGCACGAGACAAAAGTGAATGGACTTGGACATAGCAAATGGGATAGAACATTTCACACGCCATACGACTCATATGAATTTACAAAAAGTTCTGTTAATACTGTATACAATATGACCTCTTTCCTTTTCCTTTTTCCTCACGGATTTTCTAGTCCGGGGATGATATGGGATGATGGCATTGACCAAGACTCAGTGCTTGGTGACCAAGCTCCCACGCAAGGCCAGCCAGTTGCTGGCCTTTCCGCGGCGAAGCCGACCAAGCTTAGTGGCGCAGGCCGTTCGTGGAGTGTGTTCGTGATGTGGATGGCGTTTCATGTGTGAGGTCATTGCGTCCAACGAAAAGACACATGTGACGCAACACTGGCACTACTCATCACCTCACCATGGGGTGGTTTGGGTCACGGCCTAGCGGGAGGCAGACTGGTCCACCTTGCTGACGGGCAAGAGCAAGCTGCAAAGTTCCGCTTTCTTGTGTGGCCCGCAGGCGGAAAGCATGGTTTGTTTGTTCATGAACTTCATGAACTTTCGCCCGGAGAGTGGTTTCAGGGCATTCCCCAAAGATGTAGCGGCCATTTTTGTTCGGTGATTTCGAGAAAATGGACAGTCGCGGGGTGCAGTTTTGCGCAGAAATTCGTAGGCATCACAGCCTTGCTTTAGCTTTTTAAATGACACTTCTTCAAATTGGGTGACTACCTGAGTGAGAGAGGACCTGCTTAGCTGTTCTGCTACAACAGTATTTGGCGTGCTCCACGATGCCTCGCCAGGACCCCGACGCGCACGCCCCAGCGTGTGGACTCAGCGATGTTTCGTGTGAAAAAACGACGCTTCAAAGGAGGGATGCGAGCGAATCGACCTAGACGACCTGATGACGAATGATGAGGCATGCAGGTTCAAACATCGTGATATATAGCGGGTTAATGACATAATTCCACAATGGGTTGTTTCATGTTGTTTCGCCTCACGTGAGGTAGGTTATTACATCACTCTGACGGTTTTTTTCGTGGCACCGACCGGTTTTTCGAGGCCTTCCTTCGAGGCCGAAGCTCGCTGCGCGCTGCGCGAGCGCTTGACCTGAGAGCCATGGAGCCAGATACCATTGGCACTGCGTTGAGAAGTTTGAAGTTTGTGTCTTTTTTGTTTTGAAGAAAGATAGGAAAGAAAAAAGGTTCAACAGGACCAGTAAAAGAACAGTCGAACAACTATACTTTACTGTTACTGTATTTGTTTCTTTTGTTTTTGGGCTTGGCTTTCTTTATTTAGCTTTTGATGGCATTTGAGGGCACTCGTTTTTTGTCGCTCCTTCCGAGAGCCCGGCCATCACTCCGTCGGTCGCGGCTATGGAACCATCGAGCGTCGATTTTTGGTCACGCTGTTCTCGGAGGCCGGAGGGGCGTGTGGCCAAGCTCCTACACGAAAGAGGAGAACGATGAGGTGCATCGATTTGGGTCGTGGACGAGCCAGCCCTGCGGATCCCTTCCGCGTTTTAGAAGGTATGGCGCTTCAAATGGACCATTCGCAAGGTACTCTTCCTCTAACCACCAGTTCCCACAGTGCAGTGAACATGTTCCTTGTTCATAGCCAGACTTCCTACGCTTCCTACTAGTAGTTCATAGCCAGCTGGGATGACCAGAAACCACAGGTGACGTTCTTTATTTTTCTTCACTTTCACAGCGAAAATAGACCAGATGAACAGCGATTTTCCTTTTCACATCATGTTTCTTCTTAGCACATCAAGCACTTTGCAGTTTTCCCATGTTTTCCATGAGTTGCCCAGGTGGAGAACACGCAGGAGCATCAAGCAGAGAAAGAAGCATCGTCACAGGAGGCGCTTTTCATGGCTGCGATCGTAGCTCGTAGTGACAGACCTCTGAAAGCTCGAAAATCAACACTTCTGAAAGCCCACAACAGGAAGGGTTCAAGCCTTTTCTCCCCGCACATCACCCAAAAACCATCACCTGCCGTTCTTGGCTTCTTCTTTTTTGGTCTCCGGGTGAATCCGGAATCATCCAGAGGTCCATCCGGTGCGCCGCAGAACGTGCCAGGTGGAGCTGAATCCGGAGTGCGCGGTGCCGAGCCGGACATGTGAGCGGGGGAAGGCAGTCCTGATCAGTGAAGAAGCAGAGATCGTACGCACGATCAATCATCGGAAGCAAGATCAATCAGGAATCAGTCTTGCCATCCACGTGTACGTAGATGAGGGACCACTCTACCATACTCTACCCCATCAAATTGATGATTTGCAGATGTTCAGATCTTTGTCTTCGAGCTGCCGTCTTCCAAACGAATCCATCAGCAATCCGTCTGTTCATCCTCCCAAACCGTCGCCCGTCTCCTCGGCTCCGTTCGGCCTCCGCTCCGGAACCGCCCGAGGCTCGAAGACTCGGAAGAGCGGCCTGCCTCGGTGTTGCCTCTGCGCCAATGGCGCGGGGAACGGGTGGGAGGGGTTGGGAGGTGTGGCGTGTGAGGTGGAAGATGGAGGCACGAAGTCACGAAGAAGTAGTGATGTGCGAAGAGCAACACTGAAGTCTTTTCTTGGGTCAAAGATATGCTCAGTCTTTGTGAGTTTTGTGACAGTCCGAAAGGTCCTAGGAGTCCTAGATGGCTTTGATGATGCCTTTCGCGCTTCCTGTCTGGGTGTCCTGTCTGGTGACCTATAAGCAGTGTAGGGTTGTCCATTGGTAAATCCTTGGAAGCAGCTGGTGTGTTGTGTATAGATTGGATTATGCAAGTGTAGTGGTGCTGGTTTCCTCCAAAACAGGCCCATAGGTGCTTAATATGGGCTCTAGCTGCAATTGAACGTCACTTACTCAGCGTAGTAGCATGGTAGCAAGTGACCCTGCCGACCCTGCGCGGCCGCCCAAATGGAGTCATTGAAACAGGAGTATCGATGGAGATATAGAACTATATATATACCATTATATACCAATTTTGACCACCCCAAACTACACTTTTGGGGCGCTCCACGACTTGATCCCTCTGTTTTCTGACTGAAGAAGCACAGAGTTCCGTGCTAGGTGAGGCCATTTGGTCTCAGGATGGCAGCTGTAAGCATTGCAAAGACAATGGAGGCATCAAGGACTGTGCTGCGGCCGGCGAAGGTGGCTTGGACTGCACTGAAGAGTGCAGCCCAGCTAGACATGCAAACATCAAACAACTACAGAAGGAGTTTTTTTGGGCTTAGCGGCTAAGAGATCATGTGAACAAGACCCTTCCCTGTCTCTTGTAGGTCGGTCACCGCGGGGTCGGTCTTTTGGTTGAAAGATTAACCCGAACGTTGTGCGCAACAGCCTCTTGAGGCAGTTCCAGTTTCAGGGTTGCTTCTTTCGTCCGCCAGATGGGCACCATCTTCCACCACACGGACCATCCATCGACTCCGGACCATCGACTCGGACCTTCCTGCAGCACTGGGCCTTCCCCCGGCTTCAACGCCTCGACCGAACTGGCCAGTCGGAGGGTGGGAGATGGCCGGTCTCCGGACGCATAGGACAGGAGGGGTCGGTGGGCCATGCGTTTCATCCCGAAGTCCGAAGAAAAGGGGGTCCATCTCCGAATGGATCCGTTCCAGTCCCTTAGCTCTTGGTTGATGCCCTTAGAATCCGGGCCCCTCAAACAGGGTTTGGTTCGGGCCCTTTTACCCCGGCGTTTCGGTGTCGGGTCCGACCCCTGCCATGCAGAGCACAAGGATTCTTAGCCAAGTCGCCGGCCCATTCGCTCTTCGTTTCGAGGCGCCGAAGCGAACCGTCTCGGGACCGTTTCGAACGGTGGGACCGCACGCCACGCTGACGCTGAGACTGCACACCGGGCTCCAGCAGTTGGCCACTCAAGTACAAGGAGGTGTGGAGATCGGAGGGGATTTTCGGCCACCTGCGACGCGATTTTTGGGGATAGAAGATGATAGAAGATGTTTTGATGGATGTAAACGGGATTGTGAAAGTGAGCACGAAGCGATGATTATGATGATGATGATGATGATGATGATGATGATGCGGGGATCTATATTTTTTGAAGCAGTCATAGCAACATAAATGGCTTGCGGGGCACCTGTTTCAACCCTGTATGAGAGAGCAGAAGTTAGTTTAAGGGGTGGGTGGACATTGATAGGTCAGTTGCTGTAGTCCTATGGTGAAAGGCGTGTGCTTTTTGAACATCAGCCTGGCTTATACTACTAAGACTATAGTCACTATAGTCATTGGGAGCTTTCAGCTTCGGACAGGAAGGAGGCCGGAGCTTCGCGTGACCAGCCCATTCTCGTGTAGGTTAATTCATGGAAGCGCTCTGTTCATATCGCTCCTCCAAGCGCCCCCCACCAGGCCTTGGGATTCTGCCACCGCGCAGGTGGATGGTGAAGACAGCAAAGAAAAGGATTGGACACTTGATGGAAAGCAATACAAGCTTGAGGGATTGGGCATGAGGTTGGGAATCACCCAGTTCTTCGCTCTTCTGTTATAGCGGGTTTTCGCTATAAGTTGTTTGGCTTTGATGCACAAAGACAGCATGGTTTAGCCACATGTATCCACATGTTATGATCTTGATTGCGTTGCGCTTTCGCTTGTTTGTCTGGTAGAAAAGAGATCCATGAGTTGTCAACCTTCAAGACTTGTTTTGTGCAGTCGGGTGGCAGATTTCCTGAAGCTTGTCGTTATTTGCGGGGAGCTGCCTCTTTCGTGAAGCTTGTGTGTGCTCCTGGTCAGTCTGAAGCCCGCAGTCACTTGAGTTCTGTCCGTTGAAGCCTTTTTCCAAGACGTCAGCGAGAGCATGGACTCCGCAGCTTCCCGAGACGTCATACCCAGCCGACTCTACAGGTCACCACCGACTTTTTAAGTCAGCAAAAGCCTCCAGAGGAGACGTGTAGAGTCGGGTGCTGGTAGAGGAGACTTGTTCAAGTGAAAGGGATGGCTCTGCCCTGCCGGGCCGGGTCAGGGTGTTGCAGGGTGATATGAACCTTTGAGGCCTGAAGTCACGTGGCCTCCGATCGTTCTTTCTACAGGGGAGATGGAGATATCGTTTGTTGAGACCTGATCCCCCGGAGAGAATCACAGCCGTCTGCGCTCCCAGGAACGAAGAAGATGACAACCGGGGTGCCATTTGTGCTGAAACCTGTGTGACCCTCAGGTTCTGAGGCTGCAACTCTTGCGATTGGGATAGACAGCCGAAGTTTGCTTTCACAGGTGCGTGCTTGGTGGTGGTGAAATGCTAACTCGATGCAGTCTTCCTAGCCGTGTACGACTAGGATTGGAAGTAAACGTGACTCTGGTCGAAATCTTGCTTGGACTACCGACGTGACTTGCGCTCCGTTTGCGCTTCCCATGGCTCTTCACTTTCTAGTGGTTGGTTGGACAACCAAGACCTTCCAAGGTGCGGAAAAATGGATTTCCAAGATCAATGGCGAGATGAACATCCCTCGAGCTTTACCACCCCAGAAGGCGAAGGAACTCACCAAGCAGGCGAGGGAACAGGGGGACTTTACTAGTGGGGATCCCCTTTCGGGAGATCGGCATGAATTACATGTTCTGTTTCATGCAGGCACATGGCGGCTTTTTGGCAATGCCATTTCATTTCACCAATTCTTCAATAAATTGGTCGGATCATGTCGGATCAAACATAGAAACACGATTTGGAGGAATCTGCGAGGTGAACTTGTGTATATTCTATTCGCAATCGCAGGCAGAGGCCGCCGAAGAACAAGAAAAATTGGAAAGGGAGGCGGAAAGACAATCTGAAATGGAATCGATGGAATCACCCCAATAATGATTAATTGAATTGAACCATTCTTGATAAAAATAAAATAGAATATAAATCAATCAAATTATTTATTTAAAAAATATATATACATATATATAATATGTATATCTTTGATGTTATTCTATGTTTGGAAATATATATTTTGAATATCGATATATATATATATATATAATTTGATATATTATATAATATTGATTAAAAATCGAATTGAAAGGATTTATTTTAAATAATAAAATTATTAATATGTTTATTATATATTTTATATTATGAATATAATTATGACTTAGGAAAATTTAAGTTGTTTATATTTATGAATTAATATTTTGGATTTGGAATTTTATGATATATTCGGAATGATCTTATATATTGAATTAAATAGGTATTTTGCAGATATATTTGCGTATTTTATAGGCATTTGAATTTAAAATATGATATATATTTATTATTTAGGAATGTATGGTAAAGAAAATTTATTTATATGTAATATATATAGATTTTGAATGATGTTTTTTCGCTTTAAAGAATATTTGATTTGTAGATATATGTGTACATAAAATCGATCCGGCTTTATTGAAATATATTTGATGATGGAAATTATCGAAGATTGTCTCTTTTATTATTGCCGGATCGCTTTACACTCGATGCATAAATATGTTTAAGATTATTATTTGGACTTTGTTCTTCTGATCGCTCATTTTCGAGAACATATGTATAGTATGGCCAATCTTGGCAATGGGAGAGGATGTGTAATTTTTATCGTGACATTTAATTTCATAAATATGGGGTATTATTCCAGATAGCGGCAATTATGATGGATTATATTTTCTAATCGGATTCTTTCTTAATCATGGTTGTGATGATGAAAGCCTCTTGATCCATGGAAATGGTAGGTTCGGCCTAGCATCGTACCATTTATGCAGACCTTGATCGCTCTGTGCTAGGTAATTCAATACTAGAGGTCCCTTCATTATTAGGCCCTGAATAGGGTTTGACCGTTGATTCTGCAGACAATCATCCGGCCAACCAATTTTGCATGATTGTCTACAATTTCCTACCAGATTTCTGATTTTGGCCGATTTTGAGAAGCATTTGTTGATTCACGAATAAATATCAAATGCAGATGGTCCCATTGTTCGTGCATCTAAAATATCCAAGCTCGATATGATCGAAACCATGTTGCAGCGATCGCCTTAGGCACCGCCCGATGTCATCAGGACGTTCACCTGTCCTTTCTGTCATGACCAGGTTGGGAGGAAGGTGTGACGTAACCATGTCCATTCATGGTTCCAGGTTGAAGGGATCTACGGATCGTACCATAAATTCAGCATGAATATTTCCAAATTTTGTTTATGAATTTGAACATGTGATGGCCCAAGATTGGTTTGTATGGTGATTTGGGCCTTCGTGATGGAGCATATGAACGCCGAAGATCCATCTTTTGCGGACCTGATGGAATTTTGGGGCAATCATTTTGCCAAATGGCCCAAGACGGACACCGAGGAACGATCATCAAAACCTCGATATTCCCGAAAGGGACCGAAGAAGCATTCGCGCTCATTGGACGAAGGCAGCAGCTTAATGACCATATTGGCCACGCTCACGCTAAGACAGGAGGATCAATTGAATCAACTGAACTCAGATGGGACTTTCATTTTCTTCGTTCAAGCAGGAAAAGGCTCAATACTTCCTCAGATATAGCAGGGAATTACCATGTCTCTACGTCAGCACATATTCCAAAACGGTGTTCGAGGAAATGGCCTGTCGAGCCGCGAAGTTACCTTTCGGTTCAAACGACCACGAATTGATTCAGGCATTGCAGACAAAGTAGATCTGGATTTCCACCAACGATTGGAATTACATGCATTAGGAGCCAGATCAGGTGCAGATTTAATTAGGTTCCATAACGGGCATATGGGGGCATGGCATAGGTCGAAAGCCATCTTCGGTGATTTGTCGGGACCCGTCTGTGCGCAAACAGGCCTGGTAGTACCCACGGTGGGGCGCCTCGCCTCGGTGGAAGATTACCGACACTACATCAAAATTGATCCAACGAATTGTCCGAATTGTCCAGTCGGTGGAGCGAAGGAAGTACGGCAATCGAATGGGATTTCTATTCCATTTAATGGTATATTTGGACCGTTCACCCATAGCAGGAAACCGATTCATTTGCAAGCTGTCGTGACGGATGCATTGAATCCATAATGAAAAGGATTTTGTTTATGCCAAAGATTCACCAGGTCTTGCAATGTGCACTCTCCCAGCTTTTCACGGCGCAGAAACACAGGTGCACACACATGACCGAAATCCTCGGTCGTGTTCAAAACGTGCCTCCCAGCATCATCGCATATCGGATCCAATCCCCAAACTCAACGCCATCCTAAATTCAGCGGAATCCTGTTGTTTCCCCACAACATGGGTCGAGAATCACGGTGCCAATAGCGGGCCAAGACAGTTGCGCTCGTCAGGCCACTGCATGGTGGAATCTCGATGAAGCATGGTTAACAAAGGCATCTGCCAATCTCCAAGTTCCTGCCAATTAAATTGATCATTCATGCAACAAGACCACAATTTTGCCATCAAAACGGAATTGAGATGATATGTATTGCCGTCATTGCCCAGAACCATGATCAGCAGGGTAGCTCTCATCGCTTCAGGCGAGATGCTATGGCCTGAACCAAGGAAGAACATTGGAGCCAAGATCAACTGAATTAATCCTTTCCCTGTGAGCTGAACCATTGCATCGTGAAGCTCCTGGGCTGCTGTCCCTCTCAGAGACAGATCCAGCTTCCATGGCACCACCACTGCTTCCTCCCTGGAGATTTGCTCCTGGGGTATTGATTTGAGTGCCCAGAAACGATGGATGAGATCTTCTTGTTTCGCCCTTCTGGATCAGGGCGGAAGCGGCCTCGGAGGAATCGGATCCCGGTTCGATGATTTGAAAGTCTTGGCATGTGAGTGGCTTGGGACCACCTAATAACAGCAAGGAGCCGTATTGTAGATCCAAGATGCAATCCTTTTGTTCCTTTGATTGCTGGATAAGCAGCCTTTCCTTTCGTAACCACTATGCCGCCTAGGCCACTAATGCACTAGACGCAGCGGACCGCAATGGTTGCCGCCCTCCACGGGCGGAGATCTTTCCGCTGGAAATGAACAAAAAGACTAATTACAAATTTTCATGGTAATCGACGGGAATAAATAAATGATATTTAGAGATAATATTATTATAATAAAAATAATATTAAGAATAATTTTTATTAAAACCAAAATTTAATATATATTTATATTTGTATATATTATACCAGCGTAGACCCAATATTCAAAAATGAGATCTCCGAACAATATGGCCAGCAATATTTCCTAGAGGAAGAAACCTGTAGTCCACCATATAGACGCACATACAAGATTCAAAGGGAAAGCATTAAAATTCTGCTTTTCATTGACTTTACAATGGGACGCCGTACAAGGGCTAAAACATGAAATTTATGGATCCAGGTTGTGCATATGTTGCCCCCCTTGTAAACACGAATGCACAGACCCAATCAAAATGAAGATTTCCTCAGAGCACGGACACTGCGCTTGGCTTTTTCCTTCCTACGCAGTTGCCTTCTTTGGCTTAGCCATGTACTGCATTGACCTGTGTTTGCCATAGGTCATTCTTATTTGAAGTAAGAACCCCATAGCTGTCGCTATCTGGGGAACAAGTCTACGAGTCGCGCAGCCTGACATTTTCGATTAGCACAAAAAGCTCAAGCAAAATCACCCCAACAACAATACCAGCTGCCAACCGATGACCAGCAACAAGGCTTACCAGAGTCACAGCAACCAACCTACTTACAAAAGCACATGAAATTAGACAAAATACTATCATGCGCATAATATGATGTCATGCACATGAAATGATACGGTGCACGCGGAATGATGTCGTGCGTATGACATGATGTCATGCGCATGAAATGATGTCATGCGCATGAAGTAATACTTCTCATGGGAATACTGTAGTTTTACTAACAGCAGCCGAAATTTTACTAACAGCAGTCGAAATAATACTCTGCCCATGAAATGATGTCATGAACAAGAAATCATGAAGCGCACATGAAATGATGTCGCGCGCATGACATGATGTCATGCGCATGAAACGATCTCATGCGCATGAAATATTAGCATCCAATGTGACCGCATGCAGTGCGGCCCTGCGGCGACTTGCGGCGCGGTCACGTGCGGTCACTCGCGCCAGCGGACAGTGGTGGTCACTTGCTGTCACCTGCTCCAGCACGCGGTGGCGGTCACTTCGGTCACGTGCTCCAGCAGTCTCTTAAGGGGTCACTTACTGTGGTCACTGGCGGTACGGTCACTTGCACTCGCTGCCGTCACTTGCGGTCACTTGCTCCAACGAGCAGTGGCGGTCACTTGCTGCAGTCACTTGCGGCGCACTTGCGGTGGGGTCACGTGCGGTCACTTGCTCCAGCGGGCAGTGGCGGTTACTTGTTGGAGTCACTTGCGGCGCACTTGCGGTGGGGTCACGTCCGGTCACTTGCTCCAGCGTGCAAAGGCGGTCGCTTGCGGCAGATTGCAGCACTGATGTTGGAGAGCAAGCCGTTGCAGCCTTCTTGATTTTTAGCCTCTTCTATCTGCACATTACTTGTGAGAGCTGTCTGCAATTCTGCAATTTGGCGAGCTCGGCACATTAAGCAAAATGAAATTCATGGGAATTCTGGCGCAGTAACCAAACTTTCAAGTGCTCAACGAGACTTGCAAGGCCAACCTTCACGTACTTTGACTGACAAGCTTTTGCGTCGCTGCATTTTCCGCAATACATCGTTCAGCCGTCGTGCCTATCACGTCCAACGCAATAATCGTGTCTACATGCACCCACTCCGAACATAAAACAAAGGCTGTGACAAGGAATAACATTTGCAAATCAAAATGCAAAATCAATTCGCGGCACAGCATAGCCATACTTGAAGCCGCACTTCTACGGATTTTTTACTCGTCACAACGCCCGTGTC